TATATATATATATATATATTAATAGATTTTTGTCTGTTTGTCCTTTATGCATTCCTAAACGGCTGGACCGATCGTGACGAAATTTGGTACAGAGGTATATTAGACCTATATTTAGAAGATACGTCAAGTTAAAAAGTGATAGGCCCAACCTCGGAATATGCTCATACAGACATTTTGAATTTTACGATGGGAATTTTTGCTATTAGTGATGGTTGCTTATCATTATATATTTCTTATTATCTTCAATTCACATAAAATCCAAATACCACTTAGTCACTGATCACTGTAACTCRAAAACTACGCAACGTACGAACTTGAGATTTAGATTAGAGATTCTTCTCATATTTTTAACCTGCCATATGAAAGGAATTTTGAAAATTCGACACCTAAAGGGGTCAAATAAGTGGTTGTAAGAAAACAATAGTGGCGCCATTTATCAGGCAAAATCAAATTGTAATATACATTATTAGTGTCAGGATATAAAACTTACAAACTTGATATTTGAAATAGTGGTCGTTCTAATGGAAAATAATCTAAAAGTGCAACAAGAAAGGATTAAACTATATTTGAATTTTAAAGAGGGGGCCAAACAGGAATCTTGAGATTCACGGTGAAAATTGAAACTTTGTTTTGTTACTAAATGGTTGCATCGATTACTCAGATAGATCAGGTACAAGCATGCATCAAATTGTCGCGCTTATGGCCCCGAATAAAGAAACTATAATATCTTAAAACCAAATATATGTGTGTAGATTATATACTCAAAAACTACTGAATTGAATTAAATATTAAATATATTTTTGTGTATTATATGGTTGCTATTGATTATACTATTTAGTATTGTAAAATAAGAAATTAGCAATTGTTTCACCTTTACAAAGCTAGAAGTGCGAGAAAATATTATGATTGAATATACTTTTAGTCCTGTATTTTAAATGACTGTGTTAAAAATCTTTTATTGAGATTAAGATAGGGAAAATCCACGGAAATTTGTCACGGAAAGTTTTGATCATATCTAGCCAGGTATAAACGATGAATTAACCAAAAATGTTGAGTCTTTTTTGATTTTTTTTACTTAGTTTTTCGAAAGTTGTACGCTTGTACGATTATTTAATGTTGTCATCAGAATTTTTACTTTCTATGATACAATAAATTCATGTTTGTATTTCTGTATGTTATAATATGATAAATATAATTTTGTTTAATTACAAACTAACTGACCCTGTGCACTTCGTTTCCATTAAAAAATGGTAATATATGACAATCAGATAGATTTGATGCACACTTGGAAAATAGTTGTTTTAATAATAATAATAATTTCAAATAAAAAGCTAATAAATTACATTACKAAATCGTTTATTATTGTAAATATACATAAGTTTACGATAATATAGCCATATTTATAATTTGTATGAGTATAACATTTTTTACAAAATATTTATTATGGTTCTGCTTGATGTTCCGCCCGGCGTTGCCGATGCACTTACCAGTAACAGTTATGTGATAAACATGTTCAACACTTAAAAAATTTGATTGGCTTTCTTGATATTATATTTATTTCAATTGTTCATAACTTCTCTGTATACTATATAGCTGACGCAGCAAACGCTGTTTTGCCATATTAATTATAGCATCCGCCCGTAACTTCGTTTGCGTAGAATTTGAATCATATATCATATTATTTAGCTTAATATCCACCATGTTGTGATATCTCTTACTCGA